GAACATTCACATTCTGATGAGGATAGCCAAGAAGAGAAGACAGAAATCTTGGAGCATATTTTACAGAGAAATAAAAGAAACAGACAGAACCAGTTCCAAGACTTAAAGGGGAATGACAAACTTATGCATAGACAGAAACTTGAAAAGTTTGCACGGCTTGCAGGAAAGGAATACCGTTCAACAGCCCGCACCACCAAAATGGATTCAGTGAAGAGATTTAAACAGGAACCAGATGAGCTCCCTATTCTCAATGAATATGATGAGGATCAAATTGCAGCTGCCAATGTTGCCAACAATCTTTTAGAGAGTGATGAGTTATTTACTACTCAAGTAGAAATGGTTTTAGATGGCCAGTTTGACATGGGCCAGGAGGTGCTAACAGGACCTGTGGTGAATAATCTTGATGGTCTTACTATATTTGAAGGTAATAGAGTTGAACATATTAATTGCAAGAGCGATGATTTGAGGAACCATGAGGATGACACAGAAACAGATGAGGATTCCCAAACTTTACAAGTTGTGCTGCCTGCAAGTACGGCTGACTGGGGAAAGTTATTTGAAATGGTGCGTACACGTATAACAACTGAACACAATCCCACCATAAAGGCAGAAGCGGCACTTGTTCTACCTTATGAAAAAGTTATAGAACTCATAACCCCCAATGAACAAATTCCCATTTTTAGGCAATTATGGGAGTTAGCTTATCCAACAAATCAGTCAGAAGAAGAAATTGAGTTTGAAATTAGAATGGTAAGATAAGTTCCTCCTTTCATTATATTACAAAGTTAATGACATTATACCTATGTTACTACCTCTGTTACCCAGTGATGTCAATGTTTTTATTTCTAAGGAAACATTTATTTATATTTAAAATGAGTGTAATTAAGAAATAAATCCCTATTTATTGATGTATCTATAATGATATAGGATTGTTTTCTTTAATTCCTGATTTTGCTCACACGATCTTGTAAATTATATCAACATCATTACAGAAATAACTGGCTTATGGTCTAGGATTTAATATTACTAGATAGTTGCATTTTCCTCAGTTGCTATGACTGTTTACACTTTCAATGAAGCTTCTCTATTCATTAATCAAATAGATCTCCCTTTAATGTCTACAGAATGTGAGCATTCCAGTTCTAGATTTTATAAGTGCAGTGCATGGCTGTTTTTTTTTTCCAGTCTCCCTTTTTATATATGATTATTCTTTTGAAATTGATTGGCCAAAAAACAGCAGCCGTACTGAANTTTTTTTTATCTTGTTATTGGATGGCTCTCTTTTGTAACTTCAATCTTGTTTTGATGTATTTGAATGTTTGATAACTATTATGTGTCTGTGATAATGCTTTTTAAAGATGTTCTCAAACAAGAGTGCCTTTTCAATCATGTAGAGAGAGATTTTTCCCTCAAGTGTTGTAAACATATCTGTAGTATCATTTACTATTGAGTAAATATACAAGTACTAAACCCATTTGTTTTGTTTTAGTTGTGATAAGCAGCCCTTACATAATACATCAACTGATAAGACTTGAAGATCAAGGAAGTGTCTTTACAGAATTTTATGATTTTTAAGTGTACGCAGAGGTGTTTAGATAGCAACATTGTTGGTACCATTATTTATTAATTTTCACCAAGGGAATGCCCCCTAAATTATTTTTCTTTTCATAGTGACTGCTTATAAAAATTAATTATTCTACATTTTTGGGACATTTTTTTAGTAGACCATGGAAGCATACAAATTGGATTGCTATTTGAATTTTAAAAATATGTGTATTATTTTTTAAATTATTACATATTGGGGAATAAGAAAAAATTGTCTTCTCTAAATATTCCCTCAAAATAAATTTTCTCATACAATGTTTCATATGTAATGCCCTTTCAATAATAATAATAAAAAAGAGGAAAGGTAAAGACAGACAGAATTCCTACCATGTGAAAAAAATGACTAACTTTTTACCCCTGTGCTCATATTGGCAACTTCTATAAACCATCAGAAAATCCTGGTTATACCATTAAGATTAGATCATTAGTTGGTGTGCACATTATCACAAAATATATGTCACTGAAGTCTGCCACCTCATGGCCCATAAAAGTATAAAAAGGTCATGTGCCACATCATTTCTACACACCATTCCCTCACAATACCTTGCTCGTTGTTGGGAAGGCTTAGGATATGGAGACTGAGGCCCAAGGTGGGGGATCACCCCCACCTTGGACCTCAGCCCTTGTCTCAATTAATTTTGCTTGGTCTTTTCTTCTCACCTATCCTCTTCCATATATTCTTCATCCCCTTCTTCTATCCCATTCCTAAGGTACTGAAAGGATGAAAGGCTGGCTTTGTGTCAGTCATGATTGGCTTCCAGGGGCCATGGGCTCAGAATTTCCTTGTTTAATTACCTAGCCCTTAAACCCTTATGGGGACCTTGAGGACCGTTTCTTTTCCCAATTTTATTCAGGCTCACCATGGCCAATAATGAAGATTCTTTACCCTTAATAGGGGCATTAAGGCTTGCCATTTTATCAAATAGCCTATCGATCTTTGGTTTTAATGGTTTTCCAACCTCTACCCCTCCTTTGACCACAGCTCCGACCACTGATACTAATACCCCCTCCATGATGTTTGCTGACAATTCTATCCAATTTGAACCACTCACCCAGGTTATTACTCAACCTCCAGAATGCACCCCTTCCTCTCTCCTAACATTCTCTTCTCCATCTGCACAGTCTTCTTCTATGGCTCCCCCCTCTTCTCTTGTTACTACTCTTCATCCTGATTGTCCTCCACCCCACAGAACTACTCCACTCCACACCACTCCATCTTCCTCTTGCCTTCGTCCATCTACTGCCTTTACCTCTGCAAACCTTTTGAGTTCTCTCTTTGACCCAGCCAAGTGGGATTGATTCTTTATGATCCCCCCCCCCCTCCACAGCCCCCTATTCTGAGAATACCCTTCTCTTTCAACAATGCCTCCAAAAACAAGTAGGCAAAGTTATCTTTCACAGTCGGTTTGATCATTCACGCCTTGTCACAGTCACATCTGAATCCCAAGCTCATGCACTATCTACCCTAATTGACCTCAATGGCAAACACATTCCTGCTGAACTTCACACCTCTCTTAATACTTATACTGTTTCTATCCCCCCAAATGCTTGTCCTATCTACAGCAAAGACTGGTCAAAGTGTGAAAATGACTTGCTTACCTGCCTTGCTGATTATGATACAGTGGCAGTAGTGTTACACTATTCCTCCCAGAGGCATGCATAAGTCCTGTGTCAATATTGCCAAGATTAGCTTCCGTAGACATGACCTCCCTCATGAGGTTTATATAGGTGGATTGTCCTACTATGTCCAACCATATCAACCCCTTCCTCGTCAATGTCAGAAATATTGGCATTTTGGCCACCCAGTCAAACAGTGTTGCTCCACAGCCCGCTGCCCTTTATGTGCCCATGCTGGTCATGACTGTTCAAATTGCCCTGCTCAATCACATACATGTGCCAATTGTGGAGACACAAAATTTACTTTATAGGAGCTGCCCTGCCTATAAGCTCGAATGTGAGGTAGCAGACCTCAGATTCAAACTAGGCCTCACTCTACATGAGGCCAGATGTCAGTTTACTCCTCTTTACCCTTTCCAACACAATACTTTACCATAGTGCTATGTGACCTTTGATGTCTAGCACATGATTTGTTTCAAATATTAAACATTAAACATCCACACACAGCTATAATACTGATCTGACCCAATTCCTTGAATTTTCTACAAAGGTTTTAACTTTCAATATTTTTATTAGTATTACTTTTATTATTGTGAGGGGGTCCCTCACTTCTGACAGGTTATCTGGAATATTAATTTTTATTCACAAAAAATGAATAATAATAAAAAAGGGAAATTCAGTACTTATCCCCCCCCAACCTCCCATGATCGTTGTCATTGTTGGGAGGCTTAGGATACAAAGACTGAGGCCCAATATGGGGATCACCCCTGTCTTGGACTTCAGCTATCGCCTCAACTAATTTTGCATGATCTTTTATTCTCCACCTTTCCCTTTACCTTTCTTCATCCCCTTCTTCTGTCCACATCCTAGAGTGTGAGAGCCATGCTGAAAGGATGAAAGACTGGCTTGTCAGTCCTGAACGGCCTTCATACTCTTTTATTTCCTCTTTACCTCATTAACTACCATTCTAACTAGCAGTGCTCTACAACATTTGACATCTAATATATTTTGTCTTTATTGGTAACTAATTTTTAACCTTTTTCCCACAATACTTTATAATTTTGCTGTATGATCTTTTGTTACCTAGGGGCTTTGTCCCCAAGCCTCACCCTATTGCTATATATTGTAAACGCTGCTAATGACCTTAGATATTGATGCAGCAAAATTTTGCAAAATTTGCTTCTCAGTTATTGTTTGGGAGACACTGCTATATTTGTTGGCATTAAATATATTGGCTCTCCAATAACAAATAGATTACTTTAACTCATTGACTGCAGGTACACTTATTGTCCACTTAGTCTTTTTAGTGAATTTGGTTGCACATATGGCTCCAGAAGTCAGTATGCATTACTTAACCTACCTAATTTTCCAATTCTTTAAAGTTTCTGGGTAATTTTTTTTTTTCTAATGCTATTAATATTGATAATGCCATGGTTATTTCAAAGTTATTAAAAAAAAAAAACTAACAGCAAAAAAAAAAAAAAAAGAAAAAAGAAAAAAGAAAATAATAATAATAATAATAATAATAATAACAATAATAATAATTTACAAAAATCAATGTTTAATAGTTAATCAAGTGAGAATGGCAGGACCAATAATTTTCTCTTTGGTAACTAAGCACTTATAGAGCTATCTATGTGTAAACACAATTCATAAACTAAAGTCATGAACATGGCCTTTATTTCATGAGAATGGATTAACAATTGTAGCATTGATCCAGGAAATTGCCAATGTCTTGTTTTACATGGCTGGTCTGAAATGGATAATAAAAACCAAAATCTGTAGAGATAAATTATTTAATGCATTTTTTTCTCTTACAATGCATCAGAATGACTAAAATAAAAAAACCCACTACACATGAATTTTTCACTGGATAAAAAAATATAGAAACTTAAAATCACCTCTGTTAGTTAAAATGTTACATCATATTGCCTTTGCTCTAAATTAATAGAAGATACAAATTTCTCTTACTTTCTACATTACTCAGAAGATCAAAATATATTGTATAAAATTCATCCATTTACAAACCTATTTACTCTTTCCATTAACATGTGACACACTAATTTACAATAAAATTTCAGCTGGTGATGTAATATAACTCATACTCATTCACTGACTTTGAAAGGTTACAAAATATGCTATCACCTTAAAAGAGGGATTAAGACTGGGAATTCTCAAAGTGATTAATGTTGATCCCAAGGATTTGCAGTGTCATCCAAGAGGTTCATGACATATCACGCAGGCATCAACAAATGGCTAGGGGATCAAAAGAGGGTCAATAAGTGATAAGACCAGGGCTTGTAAAATGGATAGAATTATCTAGTGTTGCTATGAGATTACTTAACACACACGGGACTGAATTATCTTTTTGGTTAGTGACCAGACAGGATTGTTGGCGCCGATCGGCAGTTGCCCTGTTTCCGCCTGGCTTGTTCGGTGGTTTGTGAACAACATTAGGCAACTAAAAGCTTTTATTTTGTTATCATTTGAAAAACTTTAAAAAAGTGAAGGTATAACTTCCATAAAGCCATAAAGTTTAACCATATAATTATTGCTGCTACTGGAGGAGATAACAATCTCTGTCTGATAAGCTGATAGCGCAGGAATGTCAAGCGATGGTGCCAAACATCGTTAGGTCCAAAATTTGCCATGGTAAGAATGGATGCCAAACATATCGATTGGGTTAACTGTCATAGTTTTTTTTACTTTTCCCATCCACATTCTGCATATTTTGTACCTTTCGCATTCCCATAACCTTCCAATAAGAGTTCCTGATTCAGTTTTATGATATAATACCTCTACAAAATATAATGAATTGTAATTTTCATTTAAATTCTGATTGGGAATCAATGCAAAGTTTTTAGTTTCATTATGGGATCAACTGACAGAAAAGACAGAGAATCCCAGGTAAAGAAATTGTATAATATTAACTCTTATATGGAAGCTATAATTATGCCTACCTTACTTTACATCAGTGTTACAGAAATCTTGTTAGTGCTGCAAAGAAGGGATTTTTTTTTACCACCTGGGCCCATAGTGGGGGGGGGGGGAGCATCCAAATTATGCCTCATCTTTTTAATTGTAAATGTTAATCTCAAGTTGAAATTAGGAAATGTTTTTATTTCCCCAGGTACATTTTTTTGTCATATCTAAGAAATACAGGGAGCTCCTTAAGAGCCCTATCCCCTGGGCCCTTAAATGTCTAGCAACGCCACTGAATATACTCATAACACAGTAAGGGAAGCATATGGAAATTCTTGTTTCATCTCCTTCTCACAGGTATAATATAATAAAATTCAGAGCAATTTTTAAATCATTGGTCATTACATTCACAATTGAGAATATAGATGGAATATGAGTTTCTGTTATTCACAAACACAGAAATACAAATAACACTTTTATAAAAAAAAAAAAAACACTTTCTTCTAATATCCTGATGCCATCTTTTTCTTAGCAGCAGCAATGATTCTTGAGTGATTCAGTGCCGTTGTATTACGCATCTTAAAACAGTTGTTGCAAAAGCGTTCATTTTCATACATTGTAGAGCAGCCTGAAATGTCAAAGTATAAGTTGATGAGAATGTCCTACAGCAGGAATTATCTGTTTGATCAATAAAATATCGAAAGCAAGATATTCTACAATGACCTTAATACTCAAGTATAAAAATTATCATACCTTCACGGTGAATATATTTAGGGCAGTTTGAGCAGCGTACCATACCATCTTCAGGTATGCTTCTGTACACCTTTAGGCACACATAACAGAACTGACGTCTTTTCCAGTACTTATCACAAGGAACACACAGTGTTGTAGCATATTTCAATTGTTTATTATCTTTGTCCTTCTTAAACTGAAATGCAACAAGTAGCCAATTAGATTTGATTTTATAGAGTAATTAAGAAATGCTTACTGCCATAAGATTAATTTTTCAAAGAAATTCTTTAAAACAAAAGAACTTACCTCATGCTGCCATTCAGCATTTTTAGCATGCTCATTGCCAGCTGGAGTCTTTGATCCACAAGATGAACATATGGCACACTCTTTACAGTGCCAACGTCCATTTGGTACACGACGTAAGCCCACACAGTATATGTGGTATCTGTAATGAAATGTATAAATTATTCCACAACTAATTAACCAATAAAATAATTGAACTTGTCAAGCTGCTTTTTAACCCACTAGCGCCGGTATATTTTGAAGCCAAAAATAATAGTTTCTAGGCGGCTCCAAAATCGGCATACGGGGCTGGCCCGGAATCTGCCCACGCACCCACGGCCAGCTACGGAATTGGAGCACAAGCTCCGATCCAACGTCGCACTAGCGGGATACCCAGCAATGTTTATTTTTCCGGGTGTCTGATATGTGGGACACCCGTAATCAATGGGTTTAGCTAAATATTGTTGTACTTTGATTTTAGTAATCTTATCAACTGTAATGTAAAATTAACTTCTGTTTCACATGTGTAGGTAACTATGAAACAGTGTATCTAGCCTGAGGAGATACAATAGTTTTCATAAAAAGAATCCTTTGGATATACTAAAGTATTAATAAACAATGTAAAAAATACAACTTTCCATAGAAGTAATGGTAATAACATAATATATAAATAAATATAAACTCTAACTGGAATATACCTTTAAAAAGTAAACTTCCATTGTATTTCTGGGAGAAGGGAATACTTTTTCCCTGGTCTTGTGATATTTTAAAACTTGTTCTTTGTTTTGTTTTACTACTCAAACCCATATTTTGATTTTGCACTTGACTGCAGACTAATAAATAACATTTATTTTTTAACTACTCAGTATGTTTAACAAATTGACCTCTAATTTCAAGGCCTTTACTTACCCACGGTCACACATGTCACAGAAAATCATCTTCTCTTCATCATCTGGGTCACTACAGAGAACACAATTTTTGCAATCCATGCACTGCCAGTTATATGATTCAATTTTCGGTACCATTGCTAAGGTAAGATCAATGCATGTTGGATGGCCTGAAAAATGAAAAAGTCTTAAGCATGTACAATATTGGTAGCTACATATTTGATGACTTAATCTCATACATGATGGTACTTTTAGCTCTAGGGGATCCATTTCATTGGCTGATAGGTATTTAAAGTGTGCCAGAGCAAAGAGACAGTACTTGAGTTATGTATCTTTACTTTTTTCAAATATTTACAATAACACAATTTCTAACTATCCCGCAATTACAGCATCCTTGAAATATTTACTTACTTGCAGATCTACAAGAGCCACATATAATAAGTGGTTCTGGTTTTCCTCCTTTATTGCGATTCTTAGTACCACTACAGACCTTGCAACGAGGCAACCCTTCACCCTTTTCATCCTTAATGTCAGCACCATCTGCTTCATCTGTGCCTTGCCTGTGTGACCATACATTGGGAAAGAAGTTATATAAGATTTCTGTATATTGTGGTACATACAGTTTTCCTTTAATCATGGTTATACTACATTAGCGAAGCTATGTAACTAGTACATTCTCAACCAAATGACTAAATTAGAACAATCATTTAATATATTTCCTGGTTTTCTCATAAAATGTTACAACAAAATAAACAAACAAATAAATACATAAAATGGATATAGAAAAATAAGAAAATTATTACACATATATGGACATAGCTGCACATAGGTGTGAGCACACATACTTCTACATACACACGCAAAATCAAGTTTCATAGAAAAAAATAAAAAATAAAAATGCTCTTGGAAGAATTGCCAAAGATTAAATTAAAATGTTTTTTCAAGAAAATTAAAATAATTCAACACAATATAAATATATAAATAGTAATAACAACAAGCCAATAAATAAAAAATAATTTGGTAAATAACAACAATAATCCTCACGTTGGTACTGAAGCTTCCTCTTCAGAGTCTGACCCAGCACCATCAGAACCCAAGGGATCTCGTGTAATGGGTGGTGCCATGACTGAGTTTAAGGGTAAAGAACTCAGAGCCGCTGGGGTGTATCTGTTGATTTTTAACATCAGTAAAATAGAGAATACTTGAACTTACCACTTACAACTAAATTTATTAGCAGTAATAACAACTGTTAAGTAAATACTGTATATCTATACAAAAAGACCTATACTATTACATGTAACTACTTACTCTCTATAATAATCTGTAAACTGTCCTGGTAAAACAGCTACAGGATAATATCCCATTTTGGTATACTCAGGTGGAAGCTTCTTGCCCTTGCTAGATGGCTTTTGCAGAGAGAATGTCTGAAGGTCAAAGCTATACCTGGAATGGAAGAATACAATGTTTAGGTAAATTTTCTGAAACAGAGACACTGAATGCCTAGGACTTACTATTCTCAGTAATTAATATTCTGCATTATACTCCTTAAAGCCCAGGATCCACTAGCCAGATTCAACCCTGGGCTTGGCATGTCTTGGCTGATTTCAAAACATAGCCATTGTTAGAACTACCTAATAACACTTTAAAAATCTCCAAGATACTCTTAAGATATAGTACACCACAGCCCGCAAAAAAATTGCAGGATCTGGCCAATAAATGAACTAGTATTGACTCTTTTAAATCTCCAGGTAGCACACCCAGGCCTGGCCAAAATGTCAATAATCCAAAACTTGAGTCAGGTCCTTGATAAGGCCCGCTTATTATAAAAAGAACTCATACTATACAATAACACAGTTTCAAAATAATGGAGTAAGGGTTATATGTAATTCAAATCAACATTTTTCATTTACAAACTGAATGTTACACAGTTTAGTATATATACACCTGCGCTCATCTCGCTTCTCTTTATTGAATGCTGCATTCCATCTAGCAGCATCAGCAGCCGCTTTCCTTCCATACTCTTGCATTTTAGATTTGTCTATGTTGGCCATGGAGTAGTTTACTGAAAGAAAAACAGTAAGTTGGACAAGTGTGAGTAAAATGGACCTTGTTGGATATACATATATGGGCCTTGTTTAAAAGAACTTAAAAATGACTATTTGTGTCCACCCAAGCCTTCAAGTTGCTGAACTTTTAGTTTCATATAGGTGCTGTAACACTAGCACTTTTTCCGTCAATCTTTGACAATTTTCTGAAATTTTGCCCATTTTTGACCGAATAGTTGCTTTTCCAGTCAGACGATAATGATCGTTTCCGTCTGAAAACCTTAATGTCAACTTTTTCAGCCAAATGTAGTCAAATCGAGAGTTATATTTGAGAATGTTTGTATAAATGTTAAATAAAATCGTCAATAAATTGACGGAAAAAGTCCTAGTGTGACAGCACCTTAAGTGTCCCAAAAGTGTATATCTGAAGGGTCACTGACATATAATGTTAGTGCTAATTAGAACTGGTTATCAGTACTTTTTCACTTTTTTCTTCTAAAATTCCAGATAATCATTAAATAATTTGAAGACCTGTTAATGCAAGGTTTTCTTAGAATGTAGGTAGCCTAAAAGGGCTAATACAGAACTTTGGATTATTACTCAGATAGGTTACAAACCACAGGGCAAGGTACATAACATGCAATATAATCCAATATGAAATGGGACCTGAGACAAAATTAACTAATATTAACCAAGCTTAGGTATTTCTGTGAAACAGCAGCGGAATCTGAATGTAGTCTGAATGTTGTGCTGAAAGTGCAATGTTATAGGGGTCCAAGCCCTTTTTCCTTGCAGAAACACCCTTCTAAAAGACTAAGTGGAACACTCTTTGCATCAACAAGTGGTTTATTTATCAGAAACTTGAATCAGCATTAAGTAAAAAAAAAAAATTAATTCCCATTTTAAAATTCCCTATTCTAATAACACCAATTTTGCCCTAAACAGAAGTGTAGAAAGTTATGGCTGAAGTTTTACAATGAAATGTGATGAGGCTTCATCCAGATTTCTATCTTGTTCTATTACATTCATTAGCTTCTTCATGTAGTGTTCAATGGTTTATAAGTATAATATTCAAACTTTAACTGTGGATAGCAGTTTAAAGCAATATTTGATATTCAGCATAAAATCAAGATTTTTACTCACCTTTTCCCCTCTCTTTCATTTCATTCTCCTTGCGTTCCCGCAAGAGGCGCTGCAATTCATCAAACTTAGAAGGAAAATCATTAAACATAACATCCAAAACATCTTCACTCCTTACTGCAGTCAGACCTGAAACAGAATATTTGTAAATCAAACTAATTTTATGAACTTGCCCCCATAAAATCTATTTGAATATCAGCAAGAAGTCATACTTTCTTTGGGAAGAAGAAAATATTTTCTCCCCTTAATGCTTTTTCAACCATTACAACTTACCCAAATCACATGCCATTTCCGATACCAAGCCTTTCTCTTTCAGGTAATCCCGTTCCTGCATGTCTATGGGTCGTCTGCGCAAGTCTGGATATTTGCGTTTGAAGGACATTATTCCCAGATATTGAGAAATCTGTTCTTGAATAAAATAATGTTCTCCTAATCCTTCCAAGGGCCATACATACTCTACAACCTTTTCTGCTGTGAAAGCTTCAGTGCTGGAAAAAAAAGAGAAAGCTTCAAGCAAAGGGGACCAAAAGTTATGTGAACATTAAAACATTCTAAAGTCTCTGATAAATAATGTAATAAATGTAAAAACTCTTTACAAAGAAAATTTTACTGAGAAAAATGTCCACTTCACAAAATCTTCATTTCTTGGGCAAGGGTGTATTTTCGTCCAGTCTATATACTGTAAAAAATACTAATTCACTAACAAGCATTAGAAAAAGCCTTTACTTTACAGTAAAAATAATAATAGTAATAATAGCAACCAATGGCAATAAATAACTATATGATTTCAACATCTGTACTAAAACAGCAATTCTCACCTTTCTGGAACAATGACTTCACAACGGAATCTACGAACTTCCCTTTTGGACATAGATCCCTGTGAGTCTTCATCCTGGGGAAGGTTACTATCCATTCTTGTATCCTCATCCAACACAGATGGATCTGTTTTGTATAAACCTTATTTCATGTTTAAGTGAAAGTAAAAACCAATGTGAAATATTATGAAATGTAGAAAGTTTTGTCCCTACCAATATTCTTCAAATCACAACAATATTTTGTCAATGATATCACAATATATTCAGAGTAAAAATATTTTGATTCTTATATATGCAGAGTATTTTTTACGAGATCATGAATATAACACACCTGGTTTCTCTTTCCTGAATTTTCCTCCTTCTCCTCGTGGACGTTCATATGACTTCTTCTTTCGCTTCCTTCTAGTTGATGGTGTTACAATCTCCTCCTCTTCTTCTTTCATTATCTTCTCTTTATCATCCATTTTTTCTTCTTGAATTTCCTTCATTTTCTCTCCAATAGACATGTCATCTCTGCTTTCCTCATCACTCTTTTGCATTGTATCCTCTTTTTTGTCCTCGGCTCCCAAATCCCCCATTAACTGGTCCTCCACTATGCCTCCCCCTTCTGTTTCAGGTTCAAAGGGTAGTGTGTTTTGCCTTTCAAGAATCTTGCCCTCAAAGGAAGCACTGCTTACTGGTAAATCTTCCATGCACATTCTCTTGCTAACTGGTTCTTCAGCACTTTCTATTTCTTCATTCAGGGCCCTCTTTAATTTGATTCCAAAGGTATTTTCATCCTCCCCTTCTGGGATAGTAGTCTCCCTGGTTTCTACCGGGGCATTAGTTTCACTTCCTGAGGACTCCATACCCTCTAGATCATCTTTCTTTTCCTCTTGAGCTTTTTCCTTAAACTCAGCTTCTGTCAATCCTGTACTCTCGTCACTACTCAATTTCAGTGTGCATGTTTCCCCATCCTCTTCCACTGGAGACTTTACATTTTCTTCCTGCATGACTGTTTTTTCTTCTGATTCTACGCATGACATCTCTTCCTGGTCTTCTTCCACTGGGATAACCTTCTCCTCATTATCAGAGGCTGGGTCATCAAGGACTTCCTCCGGTTCTTTCTCATAAGGTTCTGGTGTTGGTTCTTGCTCAATAAGCTGGGCTGTAAAAATAACCATAACAATGTATTCCTATAAGACCTTGTTAAAAGATTTTTTCTCTGAAATTGTATCTAATGTTATGTCTGGTGACATCACATCTAATTACTGTTAGCTTACAGAATATCTAAAATCCCTGAGAACATCCATTATCATGGAAACCCTACCAGAAATGAAAATGTGTAAATAACATTGTATTCAATCCATATGCTACTTCTTTATCTATTTATCTATTTTTTACCTGTTTCCTAAAACATGTATATCATGATATATGTTCATCATTTTCACAAATTTACCATACTAATTCTTTTAACCCTAATGAAAAAAAAAATGGTTTGAGGGGCTGTCATGGGAAAGTTTAGCTTTGGGTCAGAGGGGACAGGAGTTAGCCATCTTGAAAATTTTGGCTAAAGGCAGAAATAATCATACACATAATAATCACTACACAAATTACAAAATGTTACTTATTGTTTTTATCATTGCAGTGAGTTGTGGACTATCTAGAGAAATGATACGGAGTCTGTGCAAGGAAAACAGAAACCATCTGGACAAACAATTTCAAATGACAAATATAGACATTGAAAATTGGCATAAAAGCTAAAAATGCTTATACAGAAAAAGAGGTCTTACCTTTTGTATCTGGGGTAGCTTCTGACAATTCTGAAGACTTATCCTCTTCAACTTCCATGGACTCTGGTTCATCAGGAAGTTCAGGTGTTGCGGAATTTTCCTTCTCCTCAATTGCAGCCTGCTCCTTTGGTGATTCTGGCCCCTGGATTTCTTCAGGTAAGGCCTCTACCTCACAGGTCTCCTTTTCCTTAGCTTCTGTTGCCTGCAGGACTTCAGGAAGAGTAACAGGTACTGAGTCAGTTTCTTGGATTTCTGGCACTCCTGGAGCCTCTGGAGCTTCTAGAGTCTCTGCAACTACTGTAGCTACTGTAGCTTCTGGAGTTTCTGGAGCTTCCACTTCCATTGGTTCTTCCAGCTCTGTAACAGGATTTGTTTCTTCCACAACAGGTTCAGTTTCAGTCTTGGGATCCTCTTGCTGGGTTTCCTTGTAGGATTCTGGCAACTCGGGCAGACTGTTTTCATCCAGGTCATCTTGAGCATTATCCTCTGAGGCGGAGGCTTCTGCCGAGGATGAGGAATAAGAAACTAATGAGGAGAGACCCTCATTTGAACGTTGAATGGGTAAAGCTGCAAGCTTATCAGCAACTGGTTGGAATGTCTCTTTCACTATGGAGGAATCCATGCTGCTTGACACCAATGCACCCTGAGGAGGGCAGGACTCGGGCCTTTTCTTATCATCCTCTGTAGCCATATTCATTGATGGTGTTTCAGGTTGAGAGTTAGAGCTTCCACTAAAACTTCCTTCTGAGGTTGTTGTGGCACTGGATGAAGAATCCAAACCTGATGGCGCTGCATTATTATCTGTGCCATGCAGCTGAGGGGTACTATTAACCAGCTGTTCATTTTCCCCAAGGTTGACTCCCTCTGCTACCTCAGTATTTAGGTGCTTGGTATCCTCTCCATCCATGTTTGGTATTTCCTGAAGATGTAAATATGAACTTACCATTAGGCTAGTCTTTGCAAAAGAGAAAAATAAATAAATAAAGAAATATGTAAGTAATTATGTGATGCAAAATGAAAAGCTGATGTAGATGACCCTATATTAGCAACTGTATTAGCAACTGTCTATGGATCCAAAGCTAAATAGATAATGATACAGCCTCACATGGAGAAAATGGGAATCTAGCCCTTTCAATTAATTAATAAATCTGAATTTTTCTGTATCAACCTTTTAGAGTACACAAGCAATATCAGTCTGATTCCTTGGAGGCTCAAAATGTGATAAAAAATGGGAAATTCTCTTTTTAAAGTTTTTATAAAATTTATCCTATTGCTACTACTCCTTAATTTCTATTCATATCATTTATTGGGTCAAAAAGTAATTACAGGTAAAAAGAGAAAAAAAAAGTTAAAACAGAATGCCTTTTTGAAAATTATTTCTAAAAACATGCTTTGGTCCTTTTAATGCCACATTTATGATCCATATCTGTACATCTGCTCAGAATTTTTCCCCATATACTAGGAAAAAATTACAGCAAGTGCTCCTAGACCCAAGAAGTCTTTCTTTCCAGTCAACTGGACAGACTTGCATTCCTCCTGTGATGATTTGCCATGACGATAGTACACCATCCATAGCCAATGAGTTAATACTAGTGATACTGAATTCAAAAGGTTTTAAAAGATAGAAATCCCAGAAATTCACTGATTTCTGCCCTTGCCAGGCGTTAGGGTAAATATTGGTAATCTTTGAGTTTCACACAGTCAACCTACCTTACACTTATCATTCCTTGTTTCAATTATTCTTGTTGTAAAATGCATGAATCTCGTGTCAATTTCCATTACAAATGAAAATAGTGAAAGTATTAGTAAATATTTATGAAGTGACCATACCGCTCTGATGCTAACTGGATTGTTAAAATTACAAGAGGCCTAATCCAAGGAATTGTCATATATAGACATGCATATATACACTAATAAATACATATCTATCCATCTATCTGATATATATATATATATATATATATATATATATA